CCCCGGGAGCCGGCAGCCTCTCCCCCGTGGGCGAGAGCTCTCGTCCCCCCCCGTGAGCCCTCCCAAGGAGCTCTTCTGCCCCCAAACCTCCTAATGACAGAGGAGGCACCAAACCCGCTCGCCTCCCTCCGCCCCCAGCAAACACAAACCAGTTCGGCGAAGGCCGAAGTTTCCTGAAGGCAAAGGCAAGGGCAGGGAGGGCCGGCGCGCGCGGGAGAGGCTGCCTTCGGGGGCTCAGCCTTTGCTTTAGCATAGCCCAAACGTTTTCCCAGGGAGAAGCGAACCCTCGGCGGCAGCAGCCGCCCAGCGCCGCGATGCTTCGCACCAGGGCGATGGGAGAAGCTTGCACCGCCCTCCTCCCGGCGAGCCCAGGCAGCAGCCGGGGCAGGAGGGGAGCAGGGGGCCTTGGTACCACAACCCGTCACGCCAGAGAACTCATCCCCACGCTTTTTCCAATCACAATACTTTAAAAATCAACTTAAAAGCATTACGTTTCTTGCAGATCAGTGGTGAGAGTCACTGAAGGAAAGCATTTACGATCTTACTGCAGGCAAAATCAGATTAAGAAGAAATTATTTAGACCTCGCAAGGTAAGCAAAATCCAATCCAATGAGCCAAAGGAAGGGGCAGACTTCGTTAGGTCAAATTTCACACCGCCCATGTAAGCAGAACGAAATTTGATTTAATATCCCACAGAGCAGGCCGTATTTTAAAAAACATTTTCCTGAATAACAGGTGACGATTTCAGCCAAGTTTCAAATTACCATGACTGTTCCTTTCATGACTCTTATTCAAAGGATTTTAAAATAAAAATTTGGAAGATTAAACACCATTTTTAGAAAGCGTCCCAAGTGGGCAATAAGGACTTATAACCGCAGCAACTTAGTCTAAAAGTTTTAACATGCATACTTTAATCCAAATCTCAACAGTATCGTTTCGCATGCATTTCTGTCAATGCAAACACCTATTTGAACTCCTTATTAAATGCGCTTCTCCCCGTGCCGCGGACATACGTACAAAAATCCCAGTGAAAAGCGAATTCATGATACACACGTAAGCATCAGCTTTTTGTCCTGAGCCCGCCGCAGTGCCACGGGAACCGTGTGCACTCAGTATTTTTTTTTTTTTTTTAATCCTTTCAGCTTGAAGAGGGAAGTAACTTGGTTTGGTTTTTCTTTCCCCCCTCAAGAATTTCACCCTTTGGGATCCTCGGCCTCTTCATCTCCCCGTAGCCCTCGCCGGCGGTCGGCCCCCGCCCCGAGCTCCTCGGCCCCCCAGCCATCGCAGCCCGGCGATACCCCCACGGCAGCGGCGAGCAAGGCAGGAAAAACGCAAAAGCCCGAGCGCTGTTTGCTGTGAGCTCCCCGGGGTTGCCACATTCTCTTTTTAGGGAGAATTTACTAGGCAGAGCTACAAGAGCAAACCCCTGAATCATCCTGATGCAACTGGAAGACCTCTCAGAGCAAGCAGGCGAAGGTATTCAGTGCAAGTCAGCATCCCCTGCTGCTTTTTTTTTTTTTAATTGTAATTCAAGGACATTAGAATTTGCTATTTGTTTTACGCTCTGTTGACCAGCACAATCTGGATAATGTTTTATTTATAGTATAATAATGATTCGTCATTACCACTGTCCCTATTCAAATATGCACAGCTGAAAAGACAATAACAAGTCGCGTATCCTAAGTAGCTCAATGAAATTCGCATCAATCAAGTAGATTTTTAGCTATAGG